GTAGTGCTTGGTGCTGGGGACGGGGAGGGCATCGGGCCGTCCTGGGAAGATCTTAGAGACTGTCGGAGGGCCACAGCGATGGGGCAATTGGGGCCCCAGAGAGACATCTCTCTGGTTTCGGTTAATAAAGCCATGTTGTGCATCAAAAACTGTGAGATCAGCGATAATTAAGTCAATTAAAATGTCACTTACCACATTAACAGCAGTGAGTTTTAAAGCAACAAAACCCCTGAGTTTGGTGGGGGAGGGGCATTCCAAAAGCAGGAGTTGGGATGTATGAAATTCCCTCTGAACTCTGTTCCCCCTTTCCCACCTGGAGCTTGTGACACTCTGGAGCCTGGTTTCATCCTCATATCCAGCGAAAGACATGGATACCTCCCCCCAGCCCCTACCCGCCCCCCCAAAAAAAGAAAGAAAGAAATAATATAAATGTGAAAATCACCTGTAATCCCATTTGCTATCTCCCAGAGATAACCTCTGTTAACATTTCAGGGTATAACCTTCCAGACTTTTTTCTATGCATATTTATACATACATTACAAAAATGGGATCATATCATGCATACTGCTTTGTTACCTATTTCCCTCACTCAATGGTATATTGTGAACATCAGCATATACAGATACACATCATTGTTTTAAATTGCGGTGCCATATTCCACTGTGGGAATACCTGTCCCCTCATTTGCTAAACTAATCCTCTCTCGATGGACAGTTAGGTTTTCAATTGTTTGCCATCACAGGCACTGCTGTGATAAATATGTGCATACACATATCTCTGCATACTTGAAGGGTACATTTCTAGAAATGGAATTGTTGGGTCAAAGACGAGGTACTCTCTAAAGGATTTTGATATAAGGAGTAAATAGCTCTTCTGCCATCAAGTAGGAGAAGGACCATCTCCCATTCCCCTAGATAACCCCGTGTAATAATTTTTCTTTATATTTGCTGATTTGATTGGTAAACAATGACCCTTCCTTCCTTCCTTCCTTCCTTCCTTCCTTCCTTCCTTCCTTCCTTCCTTCCTTCCTTCCTTCCTTTCTCCCTCCCTCCCTCGCTCTCTCCCCCACCCTCTTTCTTTCTTTCTCTCTTTCTTTTCTTTCTCGACATAGTTTCACTCTGTTGCCCAGGCTGGAGGGTGGTGACGTGATCTCGGGTCACTGCAACCTCCACCTCCCGGGTTCAAGTGATTCTCCTGCCCCAGCCTCCCGAGTAGCTGGGATTACAGGCGTGGGTCACCACACCTGGCTAATATTTTGTATTTATTAGTAGAGGCGGGGTTTCACCATATTGGCCAGGCTGGTCTTGAACACTGACCTTAAGTGATCTCAAAGTGCTGGGATTATAGGCGTAAGCCACTGCACCCAGCCTTTTTCTTTCTTTGGTTGTAAATAAGGCTGAGCTTTTTGTCATGTCTGTTGGCTATTTGTATTTCTTCTTTAATGAGTTAGTTCTTCATTTACTTAGCCTATCTTTTACTAAGGTGACCATCTTTTTATTTATTTATTCATTTAGATATGGGGTCTTGCTATGTTGCCCAGGCTGAATTCAAACTCCTGGGCTTAAGTGATCCCCTCACTTTAGCCTCCTGAGTAGCTGGGACTACAGGTGTGTGCTACCACACTCAGCTTTATTTTTTTATTCCTAACTAAGAGTTCTTTGTATATTATGGATATAGCCTTTTATTTGATTTGTGCTATTTATTTTTTATGAATTCCTCTACATCACATACAGTATATAACAGATATTTTTCCAAATTTGTTGTTTACCTTTTAGCTTTGTTTATGGTATATTCTGTTATACTGAGGTGTAAATTCTTCATCTCACCATGTCTATTGCTCTTTTCTCTTAGCTTTCTGCCTTGAGGTTGGTCATGGTGTGTGGAGTGGGCTTCTGCAAGGGAATGTCATTGGAGGAAGTTCATGTGTGAATGCTGACTCAGAAATCTGTAAATCTAGCCCTCAGCTCCAGATCCTATATCCAACAGCCAATTCAACATATGCTTACTTGGAAGTTGAATTCGTATGTCAGTCATTCTTGCCATGCCCCCCAAAACCTTGGTTTCCATTCTCTCCCTCCCCAGATCTGCTTCTCCAACTCAATGCTCTTCATTTAGGAAAAGACCCATCTTCACTCAGCTGTTCAGGATGGAAACTTGAGTTATCCTATTTTCTTTATTGCCCTCTTTTCCTCGCATCTTATAACTAAGCTATCGGCAATCATGCTGATTCTACCTTCAAACTACCAGCATCTGACCATTTTCGGCACCTCCTCCCACTCTAGTGAAGGCAGCATGGTCACTAGCCTGGACTTCTGTGGTGTCCTAGTGGCCTGGTCTCTCCGCTTTTCTTCTTGCATCTCTGCAGTTTGTTCTCTATATAGCAGGCAAAATGAGCTTTTAAAAACAAATCATAGGCCAGGTGTGGTGGTTCATGCCTGTAATTCCAGCACTTTGGGAGGCCAAGGCAGGAGGATTGCTTGAGCCCAGGAGTTTGAGACCAGCCTGGGCAACATAGTGAGACCCTGTCTCTAAAAATAAATAAATAAATAAATAATCCCAGCATGATGGTGCACACCTGTAGTCCCAGCACACCCAGGAGGCTGAGATGGGAGAATTGCCTGAGCCCCAGAGACTGAGGCTGTGGTGAGCCAAGATTGCACCACTGCACTTCAGTCTGGGAGACACAGCGAGACCGTGTCTCAGAAATAAACAAAACAAAACAAAAAAACCCAGATTATATTATGTTACTCCCCTCAAGACCCTCCAGGGTCTTCCCATCACACTCAGGATAAAATCCAGATGGGATTTCCATTGGGCCGTGGGGTTGCAATGGGCCGTGGAGCCCTCTGGCTAGCGACCCCTCTCCCTCCAACCTTGTCTCCTTCATCTGCTCCCTCCGTCTGTGCTCCAGCCACCCTGGTTTTCTTGCTGTTCTACACACACAAGCTTGTCCATGCCTCAGGGCCTTTGTCCTTGCTGTTCCTTGTGCCTGGAAAGCCTTTCCTGAGATCTCCACATGGCTGACTTCAAGTTTCTGCTCAAATGTCGGAGAGCCCTTTCCTGACCACATGTTCTAAAACAATCTCTCCTTTCCCTCTTGTCATTCTCCTCCTCCGCCTTATTTTTCTTCAGAGTCTGTATTCCAGTCTGACATTAGTACATATATTTTTATTCATTGTTATACATCCCCCTATCCAGGAATGTAAATTCCACTAAGTTAGGGACTTTGCTATTTAATAAGTGGGTGCTTAAAAAATATGTGTTGGATGAATATGTGTAATATACGAATGGATGTGTGTGAGTGTAATGTTTGTGTGTAGATGTCTCTGCTGCATGAATAGATATCTGTGAGCATGTCTGTGCGTGGAACTGTGGGAAAAGACATTCCGTTTGTGTCTGTGAATAGGGAGGCTTCTGTGAATGCCTTGCCAAGAATGTCTGCGTACGTGTATTTTTGCATGAAACATGCGTGTGCTTGCCTGCAACTGTGTGTGTTTGTGTGTATGCTGTGGATATTTGATTATGTATAACCTGTGTCTGTTTCAGTGAGGAGGTGAGATACCTGCATATGTCTTCCTTTTATCAAACGGACCTGCCATTGCCCCAGCCTTCCCTTTTCACCTCTCACACTTGGGAAATAGGAAACACTTTTGTGTTTTGGGGAGACTCCAGATGTGGAGTCAATTCCAAAACTGACATTTCACACTGCTACAGGTGGGTGAGGGTCTGGATGGGACCTTGGCAGCCTCTTGCTGAGGCTGGAGCCGTCTCAGTAGGATGGATGTCTTCTCTGATGAATGGAATATTTCCTTGGAACAATTGGCCATGACAGAATAAGGTTGGGGCAGGCCCTGGACTGGCTGTGTGGCTTTGACTTGTCACTGTTCTTTCTCTGAGCCTCAGTAGACTCAACTGCAGTTGGAGCTCATCCTTCTTGGCCTGTTTGCTTCTTGGTGAGAATATGGTGAGAATAAAGGGAGGTAATGGCGGTGAATGTATGACAGTCATAACAACACATAACAACAGTATTCTTACGTTTGTGCAGGACCTTAGGGTTTATCATTTCTTTTTTTTTTTTTTGGAGACAAGGTCTCGCTCTGTTGCCCAGGCTAGAATGCAGTGGTGCGATCTCAGCTGCCTGCAACCTCCGCCTCCCAGGTTCAAGCGATTCTCCTGCCTCAGCCTCCCAAGTAGCTGGAATTACAGGAATGTGCCACCATGCCCAGCTAATTTTTGTATTTTTAGTAGAGATGAGGTTTCGCCATGTTGGCCAGGCTGGTCTTGAACTCCTGACCTCAGGTGATCCGCCCACCTCGGCCTCCCAAAGTGTTGGGATTACAAGCATGAGCCACTACGCCCAGCCCTGGGTTTATCTCATTTCAAAGCAAATGCCTCAGTGGGGAATCTAGCTCTGGTCTTGGGTATTGGTTGAATAACTGATAAGTGTGTGAGTGAATCAATGAAGGTAAAAATGAGTAAGTGCCTGAGTAATTGAAAGAAGAGATGATTGCATGAAGTAGCAAATGAATTTGTAAATCACAATGACTAACACTTTTGAGCACATACTATGATCCAGTCCTTTGTAAAGGCTTCTCTGAATCCTTGCAGCAACCCTATGAGATAGGTACTATCATTAACCCCGTGTTGCAGATAGAGAAACTGTGGGTCAGAGAAGTTAAGTGACATGCCCAAAGCCACAAAGCTCCTGAGTGGTGGAGCTGAGGTTTCAGCCTGCCCTGGGCAGTCTGACTCTAGAGCCCAGAGCCCTAAACCCACACTGGCCCTGCTGAGTGAATCAGTGAATGAGTGAGTGAATGAAGGAGTGGATGCAGGAACCCCCACATGGTAAGCCAGGGGCAAGACAGGCTCCTTTCCGATGGAGAGAGCTTCTGACCCATCAGAAGGTGGGCATCCAGGGTCTGGACTGGGGGTGGGTCTCCCTGAGGGCAGAGTCTGAAAGGCCTGCCTCACGTCCCCTCTCCCTCTTCCATCTGTAGGCGAATGCCGCCATGCAGCACTACGGGGTGAACGGCTACTCGCTGCACGCCATGAACTCACTCAGCGCCATGTACAACCTGCACCAGCAGGCAGCCCAGCAGGCCCAGCACGCCCCCGACTACCGGCCTTCGGTGCATGCGCTTACATTGGCTGAGCGCCTGGCTGGTAAGAGCCCTGGGGACTGGACTGTGGGGACAGGACTATGGGGGTCAGGGGAGGAGGCTCTGGAAGGCAAAGAGGAGAGAGAGCACTGGCCTAGCTTGTTCTAGGCAGCTCAAAAAGACTCAGGTCACTTAGCAACACAGAGAGATGTCAATTCAAAACTATGTGTGTATATCCAGAGCACCTTTTGTTTGCCAGCTCTGTTCAGGGCGCTGGAGCTGCCCTACGCTTTCAAATGCTCGTAACAGGCCTGTGAGGGAGGCATTCATTAGTCCTATCTCACAGAAGAAGAAATGAGGTAGGAGGGTAAGGGACTAGTCCAGAGTATTATGTGGGAAGTAGCTGGAAGAGCCTGGAATGCTCAGGCAAGGAGAGTTCAGGCACAGGGATTGTAAATAAACAGCTTCTATGTTCTGACATCAACTGTGAGTTAGGCACTGTGGGAGTCTCTCTCTTTCTGTGTGCATCAAATCATCCAATCCTCACGTGAAGAGGTTACTATTTACATTTTATGGACAAGGAAACAGAGACTCAGAGAGGCTAAATATGGGCCAAGTGGTGTTGGAACACAACATGGCTAAAAATATGAGCTTTGGAGTTCTAGACTTGAAATCAGCATGGGACTTTCCCACTCAGCTCTCTTCTCTGAGCCTCAGTTTCTCTTTTTATAAAAAGGAGAAAATGGCCATGCCCATCCCCTAGGGTGGTTGGGAGGTGATTTGTGATAACATATGCAAAGTATTCAGCAGAGCCTGGTAGGCACTCAGAGATCATTATTACCCAAAGCCTAAGGTAAGTACCCATATATGCCTATGAGGGACCGGCAACCTGGTCCCCCCACACCTGGTTCTACTGACTGTTGCCCTGCCCTGCCAGCCTCTCGGTGGGTGAGAAAAGGATTCAGTGACATAGATGAGGAGTTTGATTTCCTGGGAAGTGGTGCCACCCAACCCATCCTGTCCCAGGCCCAGCCTTGAGCAGCCGGTAAACCCATATGGGCCCAGCCCTGTACCAGGCAGGCCTCAGAAAACTTCAGGGAACTCCTAGGGAGAACGGGTGCCCATGACCCATGAGAGGGCACAACAGGAGGGTGTCCAGGGTCAAATGCTGGGGCAGCTCAAAGCAGCAGGATCAGCTGGGGTAGTCAGGGAGAGCTTTCTGAAGGCCACAGGGGCAGGAACCAGGCCTCAAAAAGGCCAACATGAGCAAAGGCACAGAAATGGGATGGGATCTCCACCTGGGTAGCAGCACTGGCCTGGCAGGGAGGGCATGGCCAGTCTTACTCCTTTAGACCCTGCCAGGCCTCTGGGCAGAACTCAGTGGATAAGTTTCTCCCGACCGGTGTGGAGGCATTAGTTTCTAGTGTGGGGATGTTGGATATAGTCCTGTGCACAACCTCGTGGTGACATCAGCTCCTGACAGTATTCCAGGACCCAAGGACCAGAGCACAGAGAGGAGTCAGGACAGGGGCTCATGTCCACTGGTGGAAGCAGAGGAACTGGGGTGTTCAGCCCACCCCCAACTCTCTAATTCTTAAGAAGGAAGGACATGAACTGCAGGTGAGCCTTTGTATGGAGGCCTTGCCTTCCAGCAGAGGCTCTGCCCACAGCTTAGAGAGCCTGGCTTCCCTGTGACACCTATACCGCCCCCACTACCCCCGCCACCCTTGCAGTCCCTGGAGCCAGCAGTAGGATGCTGAGTTGTTGCTCCTCCCCCAACCAGGGTGGGGCTGACAGAGAGGTCCCCACTCCTTCCCCTGCCCCAGGATGACCAGCATGAGCTCAGGGCTGAGTCAGGCCTAGGATTAAGGTCAGTCTGAGAGGGGTTCAGGACTCCCTTTTTAAACTGAAGAAGAAGTATCTCAAAGTCTGGGGCTTCCTGGATACCCAGTTGCCTCTTCCTTTTTTTTTTTTTTTTTTTTTTTAATCTTTTTGGGATGGAGCTTCGATCTTGTTGCCCAGGCTGGAGTGCAATGGTGCCATCTTGGATCACTGCAACCTCCACCTCCCGGGTTCAAGCGATTCTCCTGCCTCAGCCTCCCGAGTAGCTGGGATTACAGGGGCCCACGACCACGCCCAGCTAATTTTTTGTATTTTTGGTAGAAAGACAGTGTTTCACCATGTTGGCCAGGCTGGTCTTGAACTCCTGACCTCAGGTGATCCACCTGCCCAAAGTGCTGGGATTATAGGCGTGAGCCACTGTGCCGGGCTGCCTCTTCCTATTTAGGGTGTTGTGGATGACTTCTCATTCCTTGGAGGGCAGGGGAAGGACTCTGGCATCCCTTTGCAGAGGCTGAGATTACTCAAGTTCCCTTCAGCACAGACAGAGCAGGATCCACTTATGACATGATGGGAGGCAGTGAGGAGAGGGGTTACCGTCTATCTTCCAGGGGCTAGTCAAGCAAAAGGGCTTAAGGCTAGACCCCAGGATGGAGGCTAGACCCTGGCCCTAGGCAGACACCTATCCTGGGTGGTTATCATGTTACCAGACATATGGACAGGACGATGGAATCGATGGTCCATAGTCCTGTCTCCCCTCCAAGCCCACAGTGGTTGGAACCTGGTCTCTTTGTCCTTCTGTCTTTGGGGAGGCAGTCACAAGGGTCAAGACTGAGGGCAACAAGCCTTACCTGAGATGTGACCCCTGATGCCCCCACCCTCCCTGCTCTGCTTTTACCCCCCTAGCCAAGCTCTCTGTTCAGGAAACAGAAGAGCAGGAGCCTCAGCCCCTGCCATCAGAGACTCTAGGCCAGTTGGGATGAGGGGGTTTACAAGCAGAGGACAGAGAATCAAGTGCTGGTGAATTCTGTCTGCCTAGTCAGTCCTCCCTTGACTAGACCTTGAGATGGGTACCAGCCCAGCCTGGCTTCTCATGGGCAGGGACCAGCACTCTGATGCTAAAGAAGTCTTAGTATTCAGAATCTAAGGGCTATAGGGTCTTAGAACTCTTGTGATACGGACTTACAGATTATTAGCATCATGGAGTCTCAAAATACACTCACAGTATCCATCTTAGGGCAATACCCACCTACCCACTCCCAATGCCAAATAACGAAGACCCCCCTCAATCATGCCTGACAGCCATTTGTGGAGTTGAGTTAGACCTCTGTGGTCCTGAGAGTGCATAATGGGGTGGAGAGACCTTGAAAGCCCACAGCCATATGGTGAGGGGATGGGTGATTCCTAAGGGCAAGGGACCAGGACCAGCTCTGGCAGCAGCCTGGGTGTCCACAGTGGGTCAGAGCAGGATAAGATTCAAAGCTATTTCCCATAATTAAATGGGCCCCCTCTCCTTGCCCTCCAACGGCTGTACATTTCAAGACATCATCTTGGAGGCCCGTTATGGTTCCCAGCACCGCAAACAACGTCGCAGCCGCACAGCGTTCACAGCTCAGCAGCTCGAGGCCCTGGAAAAGACCTTCCAGAAGACTCACTACCCAGATGTGGTGATGCGTGAGAGGCTGGCCATGTGCACCAACCTGCCTGAGGCCCGGGTGCAGGTAAGGCCCAACTCTCCTAACTAGGCCTTGCAAACAAACACCAGCCCATCAGTCTGGCCCCTTGTCCAGGAGCCAGCATGTCATCCCTGTGCCAAGGTGCAACGGATCTCTCCATCAAAGCCTTCAGTGATAGGAGGGGAGTTTGGGAAGGGACGGAGGGTGTGCGTTCCCTAGAGGGGTGGGGGGATGTTATCACACACATCCTTTCCCAGAGCACCTTGCTCCACACCAACCCTCCTTCTTTCTTGCCCACCTTGGACTGCTGCTTTCCTGTCCTCAGGTGTGGTTCAAGAACCGCCGGGCCAAGTTCCGGAAGAAGCAGCGTAGCCTGCAGAAGGAACAGCTCCAGAAGCAGAAGGAGGCTGAGGGCTCCCATGGGGAAGACAAGGCAGAGGCCCCCACTCCGGATACCCAGCTGGACACTGACCAGCCCCCACACCTGCCTGGCAGCAACCCCCCTGCAGAGCTTCACCTGAGTCTGTCTGAGCAGTCAGCCAGTGAGTCAGCCCCCGAGGATCAGCTGGACCGTGAGGAGGACCCCCGGGCAGGGGCTGAGGACCCCAAAACTGAGAAGAGCCCTGGGGCTGAGAGCAAAGGGCTGGGCTGCAAGAGGGGCAGCCCCAAGGCAGGTGAGGTCTGAGGGATGCCATGGGAGGGCTGGGGTCTGCGGTCCCTGAGCATGTGAAGCCAGTCAGAGGCGAGTAATCAACTGCCCCTGAGGGGCATGGCCCATTAGAAGGGACTAACCACAGCAGGCCTGGGCCAGGTCTTCACCCTTTAGTTGCAGAGCCGTGGGAAGGTCCAGGGGGTTCTGAGGGATGGGCTGGGTAGCAGGGGAGGGATACGGCGGGAGCTCTGGGCAAAAATTATTTATCAGCCATTTGGAAGTATTCCAATATTTTAACAACCAATTGGATGTCCCGGTGCATACCGTATTAGTACCAGAGATTCCCACGTGCAGCAGAGACTCCGAGCACATTTCTGAAGGAACAGAGCTCTGGCACGAGGCATATCTCAAACACAAACCCTAAGTCCAGCAGGGAGGGGACAGGGGCTGTGAGCTGAAAGCTGGAGTGAAGGAATGGGAGCTCTGGGCAGCGTGGGGGAGGGGGAAGTTACAGCCCTTGAAAAGAAAAAGAGACAGACATGGGGGCCTTGGCAGGGTCCCTGGAGCTTTCCCAGGAAGCCTGGGTCCCTTTCTCTTAGGATTCTGAGCCTTTCTTCAGGGAATGCCCTGACTGAGATGCGATGGATGTGGTTTCAGCCGAAGCCTGTCTTGTCTGTAGTGCCAAGGGGGTGAGAAGGCTGAGTGCACCTCTCCTGGCAGACCAATGCCCTTGTCCTGAGGGCTTTGTTCTTGGGTTCTCTGCTTGCAGATTCCCCAGGCAGCCTGACCATCACTCCTGCGGCCCCAGGGGGTGGCCTCCTGGGCCCCTCCCACTCCTATTCCTCGTCCCCGCTGAGCCTCTTCCGTCTGCAGGAGCAATTCCGCCAGCACATGGCGGCCACCAACAACCTGGTGCACTACTCATCCTTCGAAGTAGGGGGTCCAGCCCCTGCTGCTGCCGCAGCGGCTGCTGCTGTGCCCTACCTGGGCGTCAACATGGCCCCGCTGGGCTCACTGCACTGCCAGTCCTACTACCAGTCCCTGTCAGCAGCCGCTGCTGCCCACCAGGGTGTGTGGGGGTCCCCTCTGCTGCCTGCACCCCCAGCAGGCCTGGCTCCTGCATCAGCTACCCTGAACAGTAAAACCACAAGCATCGAGAACCTGCGGCTCCGGGCCAAGCAGCACGCGGCCTCCCTGGGACTCGATACGCTGCCCAACTGACTGTCTGGCCTCCAACCCAGCCAGGGGTCTTAGGTGTCCCCTCCTAGCCCTGTGGTTATCCCTAGGTGGCTCTCGAGGAGTTCACTCCATGAGCACAGGGATCCTAGGGCCTGGTGTCCTGTTCCCTGCTCCGCTTCCCCATACCGCAGCCTGAGGCGAAGCCCACACCTACACACCCTCTGCATGGCCCTGCCTGGACCCCATGAAGGCCAAATAGGGAGGAGGTCAGGGGCTGGGGTGCCCTAAGCTTCCCTCGGGGAAGTGAGAGGCTCTCCCTGGCTAGACCCCCATCTCAATACCACCTCCTCCCTTTTCTCCCTCCCCTTCTGCCCCTTAGTAAGTCTATGTGTGGAATGTGAGATATAAATATAAATATATAAAGCTATATTTTCAGGCACCTGCCTGCCCCAAGCCCCCTGCCCCACTCCCATCTCTTCTTCCTTGCCACCCCTCCCTGCAGCCTCGGCGGCTTACTCTAGCCATACCTTCTCTTTCTCCTCTCTCCTTCCTTCTTCCCTTGATCTCCCTCTTCCTGTCTCTGTCCTGGTCCCTGCCCCGTCTCAGCCCAGCCTCTGTATTCTCCACCCTTGATCTTTCTCCCTGTCTCTCCTGCTGCCCCTGGTTTCTTCCTTTGGTGCTGGCTGTGTTGGTATCGTTAGTTCTTGAGCTATATTTTGTTTGGGGTTGTGGCTGGTTTTGGTTTTAGTAATTTTGCTGCTTCCCGTTGCTCTCCTTCTATTCCCTCCCTTCTGCCCTGCCTGCCTGTCTCCTCCCTGCACCTGCGGCCTCTCTGGGAAGCTGTTCCTTTCCATGCCAAATAGAAGCAACAAGGCCCTAGCTGGAGACCCTGGGGATCTGGAACTGCAGGCAGGAGGTAGCACTGGCTCCCACTCCCACCCTTGCCCAGCCTGGCATCTAGAAGGTGTCACGAATTACTTTCTCTTCTGTCTTCTCAGTTTTGATGTCCTCATCCCCAAGATCAAGGAGGCAGTAGTCAGGCTGGGAAGGCAGTAGAATGGCCAGCATTCCTGCCTGTAAGCCCTCCAAAGACAGAGGCCCGGTGTCAGAGTTCAGCCAGGACTGACCACAGGGCTCTAGAGCTCTCTTTGGTGAGACTCCCCTGGTTGGCGAGCGGCAGCAGGGGAAGAGGTGCTCTCAGAGACAGCAGGACTGGTGCTCCTCTCCCACAAGCCCAGCCTCCACGTTCAGCAGGTACTGTGCATGGCAGGAGTACGGTGACCAGGTTGAACTCTGCTCCTGAGCACAGTGAGTGCAAAGCATTTAGCAACACATAGGCTCAGGCTTCTGTAGGCTTCCTGTCCCACAGCCGATTATGGAAGTAAGGGCTTCTCTCCAACTAGTCACTGGAATGGAAAACTGTGTTACTGTTTATAGCCAGGAAACCCAGCTCAGCAAACTCCCTTTCAAAGCTGTGTGACTGGCTGGGCGCAGTGGCTCACACCTGTAATCCCAGTACTTTGGGAGGCCGAGGCAGGCAATCACCTGAGGTCAGGAGTTCAAGACCAGCCTGGCCAACATGTGAAACTACTAATAATACACAAATTAGCCGGGCCTGGTGGCACGTGCCTGTAATCCCAGCTACTTGGGAGGCTGAGGTGGGAGGATTGCTGGAACCTGGGATGTGGAGGTTGTAGTAAGCTGAGATCATGCCACTGCCCTCCAGCCTGGGCAACAGAGTGAGACTCCATCTCAAAAAAAAAAAAAAAAAAAAAAAAGCTGTGTGACTTTGGGCAAGCATGTAGCCTCTCTGGGTCTGTTTCCCTGTCTGGGTTAGATGGCCTGTAAGGTCCTAGCCAGCTCTACATTCTGCATTTTTGCTCACAATCTTGCAGGACAGAAGTTTTTAGTTAAATTGACAACAACAGAAGGTTCTCACAAGCACAATGTATGAAGTAGGAAGTTACCATTGCCTTGCTGTGGAGCAAGGGTGTTGTACACACAAGCCTTTCTGTAGACACTGCCTCAGTTTCCCCATAAGCATAATGGGTCCCCTCTAGTTCAGACAATCTGGATTTGGTCTTGAGTTCCAGTGCCAGACTCTGGGGTCACCACATTTTCATACCTTTGCATGGTCTCAGGGCCTCTGGGCAGCGGGAGGGGATGGCTTAGACAGATTCTTGCTCATGCTCCCCAACTCTTGGTGGCTCACTATTGAACACTTCAACCCCTGCTTAAAGAAGTTGATCTGAAAGCCAGGGTAAAGATTGCTAAGGCTTGTCTCCTCTCCCAGTGGGAAGAGAGAGGTTCTGTTGGTGTCCTGGTAGGATTGGTTTGCAGAGAAGTCAATGCTCATCACCCTTGAGGGGGTCAGCCTAGGCTGGGGCAGATGGAGAAGGCTTTGCACAGGAAAAAAAGTGAGGGAGATGGTAGTCCAGGCCAGGAGAACCGTTTGAACAAAGCAACAGAGATGAGACTCAGTAGACCATGGGAAGCGGGTGGCTGACTTCACGAGAGGTGGGGCTAAGGGGCCTGGAATCCAGGTTAAAGACCTCACCTACATGTGGCAAGCACCAAGACAGGCAGTTGAGGGTTTGCAAATCCTCAGGTGTGTTGCTGGGGTCTGGAATTTGGAAGAGGAATCCACCAGCCACGAGGGCATCAGAGGAGAGACTTAGGCAGCGCTGTGGGAGGTTGGCAGATTCCAGGAGTGACAGAGGAGGTTTTTGGTTTGGGAGGCAGTAGTCAGGCTGGGAAGGCAGTAGAATGGCCAGCATTCCTGCCTGTAAGCCCTCCAAAGACAGAGGCCCGGTGTCAGAGTTCAGCCAGGACTGACCACAGGGCTCTAGAGCTCTCTTTGGTGAGACTCCCCTGGTTGGCGAGCGGCAGCAGGGGAAGAGGTGCTCTCAGAGACAGCAGGTTCTGTGGCCAATGGCCCATCAACTGTCCTCTGGGATTAGTCCCAGGAAGTTCTGTTTCTAAAACAAAAAATAATCATCTGGATAGGTATGGGAAGCTTCCTAGCTGCTTTTAGGCCAAAGCTTTTTGTCAGTTCCTGGGTACAAGTGATTGTCACTAGGCCTTGGAATCCAACAGCCCTAGATATCACTGCCTCCTCCAGGAAGCCTCCCCTGACCGCCTAAGGGGTGATGTTCTGTCATGGCTGGAGGCAGGCCCACCTTTGGAGCAGCCCAGTTTCCCTCAGATGTTTGTTAACACTTGTCCCATTCAATTGACCCAAATCTACAAACCTAGAGAAGGCAGGGAAGGTACCTGCAGTCCCTGCCCTCAGAGGGATCTCAAGTTTAGGGCACCAGCCTTGGGTACTGAAAGCAGCTAGAGAGCAATAGCAGAGCACACCTGTGTCTCCTCTGAGCACACTGGTAAGCAGCACCGTGCGTCTCCTCCGAGCACACTTGTAAGCAGCACCGTGCATCCCTTCTGGTGGGCAGAGGGTACGGGCCCACCACACCTGATGCTGGAGCCCCTCCCAGGCCTGCTGGGCCAACCTGGGCCTGAAAGCCAGAGGCTCAAGCTCTGATTGTCCCTTCCAGGAATGCCTCATGCCTGGCCTCTCACTGCTGTCTGAGTCTCCCTTTCCCTGCTTCCTCACTCCCCCAGAGCATGGTCCAGTGGCCTGGGTCCCCACCCCAACTCCAAGGCTGATGGGCTCTACAGACTGCTTTCCAAACCGGCTCTTTTGTGACCATTTGTGCTTAGAGGTTGTGCCAGCCCATGGCAAAAACACTGTGTACTGTATTTATTTATTCTGCTAGTTGAAAATAACAAGACTTAATTCACCCCTGCCTGTCCCCTCGCCTGTCCCCTGTGTAGTGCAGCATGACACTCTGTGTATCTGTCCTTCTGTCAGTCTTATTCCCTGTGATGTTGTGACCTGTTCTTTGTCTTGGCGAATAAAAGAGAACCCAGCAGCTCAGACCTCAGTCCATGTTCATTCCCAGAGATGCCTGCAGTGGCCTGAGCAGGCAGTGTCTCCAGGTCTGTTCGCTGCCCCTCTGATGCCATGGCCGGTGGGGATGGAGGCGGACCTACCGCACTATTGGCCATTGTCACGCTGACCGTGTAGCTCTCTCTGTGACCCTTACTAATCTGCAGCCGGGATGCCACTCTGGAGTGGCTGCAGGGGGGCAGATAACGGGGGAGGGTTCCATCTTCTCTAGGCTGTTTGGACCTCACCCAAACACAAGTGGCAGAGTAACCTGGGACATGGGACACCCGGGACAAGCAGTGCCTGGGAGTATTCAGGGTAGCCTGGGAGATGGATGGGTCTGCAGGACAGAGAGAGGCAGGGGATTCTGAGGAAAACTGCAAGTAAGCCAGGGCCAAAGGGGAGTGGTAAGTAGAGACATTTGGATGTACAGCCAGAGCTGTTTTCCAGTGGAAAGGGCTCTGTTCTCAGAGGTGAGCAAGCAGAGGATGAAGAAGGGCTTTCTGCCACGGTGTGCTGTGGTGTGTCTGTTATTACAAGTCTAGCTGCAGGTCTGAGAACCTGTGCTGTGAATTCCTAAGTGTCTGCTTGCATCTGTGTGTGTATGAGCATATTCACCATGCTCAGGAGAGACAGCGCGAGATAGACGGCGAGGCTGTATGTACAGGCAATACGTGCAGAAAAATGCACAGCCAGGAAGTTCTTGCTGTGAAACCCTGGTCCCTCCGGCTGCCTTTCAAGAAAAAGAAGAAAAGAGATCTCTACTCAGTTGTGGCTGCTTTGGCTCCACCTTCTTCCCCGGTGCTCCAGAGTGCCTGTGCAGGGCGGAGAGCCAGAAGAGGTGGCGCAGGCACGCACCTGGCTGAGATTTGGGGGAGGTGACAGTCTCCTCTGTCTGCAGATTTCCTGGTAGGAGAACCCAGCAGGCCTGAATGTATGCAGGGAGCTGTCTGCTAGGCTTCCCAGGGGCGGGCCCTGACCTCCCCACTTCCCAGGTCCACCCCAGCAGACGCATTCCTCTCTCCCCAGCAGGCTGAGGATTAGGGCGGGGAGCGTCTCCCTTTCACCTTGTCCCCTGCCTCCCTGGGAGGGGCTGAGAGATCAAATATCTGCCTCAAATCTCCCACTGCTCCCTCCCCTGGCCTGAGCCATTGACTGTCTCCTATGTACTTCAGCCCCAAGGGACACACCTTCCCTGGCATAAAGGGCACTCTGGTAACACTGCAGTTCAAATCACTCATGCACTCAGCATATACAGAGCACCTGCTGTATGCCTATGCCTGTGCTGGGAGCTGACTACATAGAAACAAGTAAGGAAAACAATACAACACAGGGTGAGATGGTGTTCAAAAAATGGAGACCTTGGGACAGGCGCAGTGGCTCATGCCTGTAATCCCAGCATTTCGGGAGGCCAAGGTGGGTCAGGAGTTCGAGACCAACCTGGCCAACAAGGCAAAACCCTGTCTCTACTAAAAATAACAAACATTAGC